AACAGGCTCCAGGCTCTGAGCTGGCAGTCAGCACAGAGCCCGACGCGGGGCTCGAACCCACGAACCGCGAGATCATGACCCGAGCGAAAGTCGGACGCTTAACCGACTAAGCCACCCAGGCGCCCCATAAAAAATTTTTTTAAGTAAGAAAAAAGTTTCCTTGTGGATGTTTTCAAACAGTTATTCCTGGACTGAGAGCTATGACAATGTATTATAAAGTAGGGCTGTAGACAGGCACCTGGCTGGCTTAGTCGGTAGAGCATGTGACTCTTGACCTCAGGGTTGTAAGTTCAAGCCCCACGCTGGGTGGAGAGATTATTTAAAAAAAATAAATAAAATCTTAAAAAAAAATGTAGAGCTATAGAAGCTGCTTGGAGCATAGCCTCAACAGGAAATTATTTGCTCTCTTGGTTTCTGTTGAAAGGTCTTTCAATTACATACACTGCCTCCAAAATGTGTTTATAAATCAAGAGTTTGGAACACATTTTCTTTCCTTCATGTGGTCATTCAGTAGAGAGGTATTTGTGTCCAGGTTCCCTGGCCCGTAGAACCGTGTTGTAAGTGTAGACTAATTCCGAGGCTAGCCCAATGCCAGTTTAGCCTGTGTTGCATGTGGTTGGTATAAGCTGGCCTCACAGCCTGACCACTGCCTAGAGCACTGTGTAAGAATCGGATGTCAGGAACTCCTCCCGTAGATCATGCCAAACCACATGCTCTTGCCCCACCAAGAGAACATGACATAACAGGGAGTCTGTCCGCCCCCCATGCCTCCCCAAGTACCAAGGGCCATTCTATTGTGTGGGCTGTGCAGATGCTTGGAGGGAGGAAAGAGGCCTATGTTTTGCTTTTATTTTTTTTTAATAATTTTCTGTTTTATTTTTTAATTGTACTAGTAGTACATGAACACCTGTTCATTTTTTTAAATGTTGATCCTAGTATATTAACATATAGTATAGAACTATAGAAACTGCAAGGTGGGAGTTCCTCTTCACTATCCCCCTAATCCCCACACCTCTTCCCAAACGTGACCGGAATCGACAGACAGTGAAGCACACTTGCAAACGTGCAGATGCAGATACAGGTTTCCCCGCTATCCAAAAGTAGAGTGTTCTGTGAAATCTTTTGTAGGCAGGAATGGCATGAAGGGAAGAGCCTCCCCCACTGTTCAAACGTTTGAGTTAAGCCACTTCACTTTTATGAAAGACCTACAGTAATGCCTGTTTGGGTTTTTTTTTTTTAAATGTTTTATTTATTTTTGAGACAGAGCATGAACAGGGACAGGGCAGAGGGAGAGAGGGGGACACAGAATCTGAAGCAGGCTCCAGGCTCTGAGCTGTCAGCACAGAGCCCAATGCAGGGCTTGAACCCACAAACTGTGAGATTATGTATGACCTGAGCTGAAGTCAGATGCTCAACTGACTGAGCCACCCAGGTGCCCTAATGCCTGTTTTCTAACCGAAAGAAATCTGAAGAACATTTTTGCTTTGGGGACAAAAACCATTACCATATTAATGTAGCTTTCGTAAGGGCAAAGTGGACTTACATAGACTTTCGGAAGGTGGGCATACCTGTATCCATATATAATTTTTGTGTAGTTATCTTTTATATAAATAGGATCATCCTATATATATTATTCTGTAATTTGCTCTTTTCACATGGTTTCTTGGAGAGTTTTCCATGCCGGGGCACATGGATCCACTGAATTCTTTGTGCAGGGTGTGTGTGTGTGTGTGTGTGTGTGTGTGTGTGTGTGTGTGTGTGTGTGTGTGGTAAAATAAACCTAACATGAAAGTTACAATTTAACCATTTTAAGTGTAAAATTCAATAGGACTAACTACATTTACAGTGTTGTACACTCATAACCACTATCTGTTTCCAGAAAGTTTTCACTATCTCAGATATAAACTCTGTAACCAGTAAGCAATTACTTTCCTTCCCAGCAGCCCCTGGCAGCTTCTAACCTATTTCCTGTCTCTGTGAACTAGCCTATTATAGATATTTCATGAAAGGAAATCATACAATATTTGTCCTTTTATGTCTGGCTTTTTTCACTTAGCATATCTTCAAGGTTCATCCAATTGTAGCATGTATCAGAACAGTGCAGTCTTTTTAATCACTGTGTATTATCTCATTGTATGAATGCCACATAATATATGTAATAAACATATATATAATTCCCAAAGTGAAAATTGTGCCCAAGCTTATCACCAACAATAGTGTATAAGCATCTTGGCACACAAACCTTCATGTACATGTGAAAATGTTTCCAAGGATCAATTCCTGCAAGAGTAATTGCTGCATCAAAGGACATATGCATTTAAAATTTTGATATTGTCACATTGTCCCTAAAAGTGCATTGCCAGTAGACGCTACCACCTACAGTGTATGTAATTGCCTGCTCCCCACACCGTTCCAGACTCTGCTATTGTCCATCAGTTAAAACTTCTCCAGTCTGATGGCCAGAAAGTATTTTCTAGTAACATTGCTCACTTCCTTGATTGTTTGAGAGGCTGAGCACCTCTTCATACAGTTATTGGCACTTGCATGTATTTGGTCCATTTATAATCGAATGATTTCCTTTTTTACTACAAGTTATGGATAATAAACCTGTGTAGTTTGTTACTTGTCACGTGGCTGTGTGTACAGAACCTTCCGTCTTAGGAAAAGTTTCACTTCTTGAAAAAAAAACTTTTAATGTTTATATTTGAGAGACAGAGAGACAGAGCATCAAGAGGGGAGGAGCGGAGAGAGGGGGAGATCCCAAATCTAAAGCAGGCTCCAGGCTCTGAGATGTCTGCACAGAGCCCAGCACGGGGCCCGAACTCACAAACCGCAAGATCATGACCTGAGCCGAAGTCGGACATTTAACCAGAGTTTCACTTTTTATGTGATCAAACCTGCTATGGCTACCTTTTAGCTGAGTTTTAGGTTCCTTTTATAGAAATCTCTTCTCAAATTTTTAGAAATGAAATTGTTTTGTGGCCCATGCTAATAGATTTATTAATGTATAATGTTTTAATGCATGCAGAATTTCTTTTGTGTTTGTTTGCCTTTTATTGTGGAAAACCTCAAACATGCACAAGTATTTGGAAGCAAATCCCAGACATATTGTTTTATCTGTGAAAGTTTCAGTGTGTTATCTCCACAAGATAATTATGGAGTTTTTAAAAACATACAGCCATATTATCATAATCACACCTGTGAAAATTCACAACAGTTCCCTTTTATCATCCAGTATCCAACCAGGGGTCATGTTCCAAATTCTGTCCTAAATGTCACATTTTGTTGGTTGAATCAGAAGTGAAGTAATGTTTTCAAGGGATGGTTTGGTGACTCAGTCGGTTAACCCTCCCACTCTTGATTTTGACTCAGGTCATGATCTCACAATTGGGGAGTTTGAGCCCCATGCTGAGTGTGGAGCCTGTTTGGGATTCTCTCTCCCTGGTCCCTTCCCTATAATTGCTTGCATTCTCCCTCTCTCTCTCTCTCTCTCTCTCTCTCTCTCTCTCTCAAAAAAAAAAAAAAGTAAAGAAGTGAAATAAACTTTTCAAAATGCAGTTGGTTGGCGTATTTCCTAAGTTGATGGCTAACATGTTCCTCCTTTCTCTGTATGTCCTCTAAACTGGATCTTTAAGTTAAATGTTGAATGATCAAATGCAGATTCTCTTTTTTTTTTTGGCAAGACAGCTTCGTAGGTGAGATTCTGTTTGCATTTATTTGTTTATATGGTATAAGATCTGGATCTAACTTTTTTTTTCATATACATGGTTAATTGTTGTACCAATACCATTTACTGAATAGTTTACTCTTTCCTCCCAGTAATTTGAAATGCTATCATTATCGTTTGCGTGCTCTCTCTCTCTCTCTCTCTCTCACACACACACACACACACACACGCACACACACACAGTTCATTTCTAAACTTTATTTTTTTGCTCTGGATCCTTGTCTATGCCTAAGCCACATGGCTTTTGATGCTATAGCTTTATAATTTGTTTTCATATTTAAAATAATTCTTTTTCTCAACATTTATTTATTTTTGAGAGACAGAGCATGAGCAGGGGAGGGGCAGAGAAAGAGAGGGAGACACAATCGGAAGCAGGCTCCAGGCTCCACGCTATCAGCACAGAGCCCGACACGGGGCTCGAACCCATGAACCATAGATTGTGATATGAGCCAAAGTCAGACACTTAACCAACTGAGCCACCCAGGTGCCCCTTATTATCATATTTAATAAGGCAGCTTATCTTTCATTGATCTTTTTAAGAATTTTTGGCTTTTCTTGTGCTTATTCTTCCCTACCATAATTTAATATTTGTTTAATCTGCATGTTAATTAAGACTTTGGGATTACAATGAATTTGTAGACCACTTTGGAGACAAGTAGTATCTCTAGCCACAGATAAGTTTTTTCTTCTACACATTCAAAGGTTTGGTGGTTGGTTTTTTTTTTTTAATATCTTCCAATACAATTTAATACTTTACGTATACTTTTCTTTATGTATATTTCTTTTGTACTTTTCCATATGTCATTACAATTTTTGTTAAATTTATTTTTAGGTGTTTTGTTATGTTTTTCCCCACCATCTTTATTTCCCCATGTATTTTCCAATTGGTTATAGCTGGCACTTTGGAAAGCGTGAGTTTTAACAAGCTGATCTCCTACTTGCCCGGCCACCTTGCTGAACTCACGTGTTAGAAGCTGTAATTTTTTTTCCTGTGGACCGTCTTGGATGTCCTGGTTGGCAAGGACGTCATCTGCAGCTGGTTTCTTTTTAGGCTCACGCAGAGTCCAGTAAAACCTGGCTGACGGGAAAATTCACTGAACTCCGACTACTACTTGATGAAGAGGAAGTGCTGGCCAAGAGATTTATTGATAGCAACACGCAGCACACCCTCCAGGTGTACAGGGAGCAAATCGAGTCTTGTGGGGAGCAAGTAGATGCTGTGAACAAACTTTCCAGCAGGGTCCAGAGGATCAGCCAGGAGCCCAGTCCTGTCCAGCAGCTGCAGGTAATGCCAGGTCTCTGCCCTCACATGGACACCCACCACCGACATTTCACATGGGTCACTGTGGCACTGAACACAGCCTTTACACCCCGAGTGAATACACAGAAAGCTGCCTTGTCAGTTCTTGCCCCCACACAAGTGAGAAGAAAATATGCTTTGTTAGGAAGAGTATGTACATCCTGGACTAATAACGTTAACAGCCACCACCGGGGGCGGGGGTGGGGGCTCTATGTTCCACGCACTTTGTGTATCTTAGCTATAATATTTACTAAAACTCTGCAATGTGGCTATTCTTACCCCATTTTATGAATGAGAAATGGAGGCTCGGGGAGGGTGAAGTGACTTGTCTGAGGTCACACAGCTGTTAGGCGGCAGAGCTGTGCTCAGAGCCCAGGGCTGCCTGACTCCAGAGCCACAAGGCACCGCCACCTGGCCCTCTGCCTGTACAGTCTAACTTGAGACCCTCCCCCTCCTGGAAGGGCAGGTGTCCTTTCAGCTCCTGAGCAGGCTCCACGAGGTGAGTCGCAGTTTGCTCAAAGGGGAGAGAAGGATCCTACTCCTTGGCCACTGGGCTCTGTTGGAGATTCTTCCTTTTTACCGAGGGAGAGTCTAAGAAATAGCCCGTGTGATTCATGGCTACATGAGTGAGCACATGTTGCTGTGAGTGCTGTTCGTGTTTTCAAGGAGCCGCGGGAGAAACTCCCATGCTGCCTCCAGTGTGTCTGGATCGCTTTCCCACTCGTGGAACCCTTCCTGTTTCCTTCCTTGCCGTGGCTTCTGGGAATCTCAGAGCTAAATAGGTTCCGAACAGCCTGGCTAAGACTTGGTGGCACACATCTCGTTTCTCATTTCACGCTGGCTTCCAGCTGATGCTCTTCTCCGGGTGGTCTCTTCACCTGCTTTTTCTCACTATGAAGGAAAACTTTACAGCAGTAGATAACCTCCATGAGAGGCTTCACAGGCTTGTGGGAGAAGGCAAGGTGTGCAACTAAATAAAGGTGTCATGGAGTCTAATCACAGATTAGGCTGTGGCTGGAGAGGAAGAGAGACAAATCAGTCAGCACAAAACCAGTTAAGCCAATATTTCTGGTCTTATGCCTTTATGTGGCCTTGGTCACTTTGGCTTGTGTCACTGTTAGCTAACAAAAGACTCAACTTCTGGGTGAGGTGCTTTCCTAGGCACAGTGGATATTATGCCTTAAGAGGGGCTAGATGCACAGAGGGGTACATTTGTTTGTTACTTTTTAAATAATGATACTTTGTAGGTACTTCAACAGGAAAAGATGCTTCCGTGGAGAAGAATGTTACTCTTTTATCACAGATACAGCTTCAAGGGCTTTGTCATCTTTTTTTCTCCATTCTCTGGTGCCAGAACTACTGATATTCATCATCCCTCCCTTCTATTGGCTCGTTCACGTATTCATCAAATACATACTGAGCAACCCTGTTCCCAACAGGCCCCTGTGCCACATTAAGAGCCCGTGGGTGGGGAGACATGCTCAGAAACTTTTATTTACAATGCAGCCAAGGGAGCCAGCCAAAGTATGTCCAAGAAATGTCCAATTCTGTATTGGGGGGGCGGGGTCAGGGAAGACTTCTCGGGGAGGTGACAGTGGAGCTCAGTGTGGGAGCATGAGGAGAAAGAAGCCCACTGGGGACGTGCAGGGGGGCGGAGCGGAGAGGACATCCCAGACAGGAAGGAATCGTGTGCGTGTGAGAGCCTGGCCGGCTGGACAGCAGCTGGGGTTCAGCCTGGCTGGAGGCGGGGCAGGGTCACGAGGAGGAAGGCGTGTTGGGGGAGGATCAGGAAGCCAAGGCTAGTTAGCCAACAGTCGTATGTGCCCAGCCATGGGGTTTAGACTGTCCAATAAAGATATGTGAGCCAGAGGAATGTTGTGAACCGGGAAATGACCTGGTCAGTTTGATGCTTTTGGAAGGTCACTTTGGCGACAGAGTGGAGGATGGACTGAGGAGGCCTGGGCCAGGAGAGGGGCGTCAGGATGGGAAGAGGCAGGCAGGTTTGAGAGATGCAACAGGATTGGTGATTGGAAGTGGGGGGTAATCCAAGATGATGCCCACCTTCTGGCTTGAAAGATGGGATGCTCAGTTGGTTGAGCGTCTGACTTTGGCCCAGGTCATGATCTCATGGTTCGTGAGTTCAAACCTGCTTCAGATCCTCTGTCCTTCTCTCTCTCTCTCTCTCTGCCCCCCACTCCTGTGCTCTCTCAAAAATAAAATATTTAAGGGAAGGAAGGGAGGAAGGGAGATGGATGGGTGGCTAGAGAGCTGGTGTCTGAGTTGGCAAAGGTGAGAAGCAGATGCGCTTGATTTCATTCCTTATTCGATCATAAATATTTACTAAGAACCTACTTTGTGTCACACCTTGTGCTAGATGCTAGAGCTGGGGGTATCAGGTGGTTGCATTTGTCCTTCACTGTCCGTCCCCCATTCCACTCCAGCCATCTGCCCTCTGAGCCACCGTCCTGTCCCGGAGCAGCCCCCTGACCCCCGTGTTAGTGCTCTGACTTCCTGGCCAGCTCTACTCCAATCCCCTGGGAGTGACCCCTGGTTCCCCACAGTTACCTTCTCCCCCACCCAATGCGGATGGAGTCCAGACTGGCACCCCCTGGGCTGCACGGGGCCTAGGACCAGCATCCTGACCTGAGGTCCTCCGAGGGCCAGCCTCCTGCCCGGTGGGCTCGCCGTCTGCCCAACAGCAGAGCGCCAGGCCACACTCCCTCCCGAGGCGCCCGCCTGCCTGTCTTGCCCTGAGCAGCACTGCCCACTAACCAGGGCCTGCCCACTCCTTGCCCAGGACAGCCCTTGAGAGGGTGCAGAGCAGGCTCCTTCCTGCAGACAAGAGAGTCCGCTCTAGCTGTCTGAAGCGGGAAAGGAGTTTATGGAAGAAAGAGTATTTGGCAGGTCACAGGATCTCCAGGAGAGCCTGAAAGTCACGAGGAAGCCCAGGCAGCAAGAGGAAAGCCCAGGCCACAGCACAGGTGTGCTCCAGGGTAGACCCCTCTGTGCTCTGCTGGGCCACTCACCCCCAACCCCGGCACCTCCCCCGAAGCCTCCAGTCCTGCTGTCCCTGACGGCTGCCGGGTCCTGCCGCTGCCTCGCCATCACTTCCACATCCAGGTCTTGGATTGGTCACATGCCTGCACCTACGTGCAAAGGAGGCTGGCAGAGTGAGTTTTCTAGCTTCTACTTAGCAAAGCTACCCTTAACACAGGAAGGCTATTTAAAGGGAGAAGTCTGGGCAGAAAACAGGACAGGGCCCCTCGGCGGTGGCTGCTCCCCCTCGCCTGGCATTCCAGCTGAATCTCCAGGGTCTTTGGCTTCCCTCTTGGAATGTGATTTCCTGCTTCCTCCTTTGGACGTGCCCAAGGGGCTCTCTCGCCAGAAAACTGGCCCCTCGTTCCTTTTGTTCCCCTGTACCTCCAGCCAACCCCTGTCACAGTGTCTGCAAAGCTTCAGGGTCCCTTGTAAGGTGGTGAGCAACTTTCAGGCAGGTGCAATCAGCCAGCCTCCCTCCTCCTCCTGCCCCCGTTGCCGAGCACAGAGTAAACCTCCATGAACCCGGAGGGGAGGGAGAAATCCACAGCGTAGGCCGAAAACTGGACCTCCACGTGTCTGCCACCCTGGGGCCTGCTGTGTGGTCTCTCCGGAGCTCTGTTCCTGGGGGCCCAGCCTGGGCTGGTCCCAGGTGCCAGAGCAGCGGTGGGGTGGGGGCGGGCGGGCAGGGGAGGGGTGGGGGGGTGCTGCACTTGCTGGCCTGGTTTGTTCCAGGGTGTGCAGTGGTGGGGGCTGGAACAGCAGCCGCCGCTCCCGGAGCCACCCTGACCCCCGCCCTCCCTCGCAGGAGTTCGTGGCCGCCGAGCAGGAGATGCAGCGGCAGATGAGCCTGGGAGAGCTGTGTTACCCCGTGCCCCTGTCCTTCGAGCCCGCCAAGAGCTTCTTCAAGGGCCTCGTGGAAGCCATGCAGAGCATGTTACAGAAGCCACTGGACGTTCGCCTCAAGGAAAGTAAGTCGCTGTGTGGCCAGCCTTCTGTCCTTAACTCCCCTAGTGCCCTTTAACCCGGAGACAACGGCAAGGACCTAAATCGTGATGTAAGTCACACCTTTTCCACACAGAGGCCCTCGGCTGGGCCGTCAAGGACTCCTTGCCTTCAGACTTCACGTCCTTCCCTTCCTGAGACCCTGTCCTGCCGCCGGCAAGCACACGGCTGTGCCTCTGCCCCTGAGGCGCGCCCAGGACTCCGCCACGCTCTGTCCTTGCCTGCTCTGGGCTCCCAGCCGGAGTGGCCAGCTCTCCCCCTCCTGCTGCCCCGTCTGGCCAAGTGCCAGCATCCCCGCCGGGCTAGCCCAGCGGTGCTCAGCAGGGAGGCCCGGGCTGGCTCTGCGGGCCACCTGCCCCTCTGCCTCTCCCCCTCCGGGCCCTGTCCGACCTCCCGCCTGGGGCTGCAGGTGAGCTGGGCCCGGGAACCTCTCCCTGCCTCTCGTAAATGCCACAAGGGTTAGGACCGTTACGAGTCCTGCTCTGAGATCCCTGAAGGGCCCGGTACAAAGCAGGTGCTCAGCAATAGCTTTTTTCCATTCATTCACCTCTGTTCTTATGATTCACCCAGAGTATTTACCGAGCCACTGTTCTCTGTAAGGCATGGCGGGGCACAAGGCAAAGGTCTTTATGTGCTCACTGTTCTGGGAGAGAGTCAGGTAGTAACGCTGTGTCAGCGAAAAGTGCTCTGAAGAATGCAGCGGGGTGGGGAGAATACAGGCTGACCAGGAGGAGGAGCTGTGTCCTGTGGGGGCGGAGAAGGCATCTCTGAGAAGGGGACATGCGCGCTGGCCCGGAGGAAGCCCCCAGCAAGCTCTGCGTGCCCGGAGGGCTGAAGAGTGTAGTGGTCACACGCGTGGGCTCTGGGGCCGGGCTGCCTGGGTTCCTGTCCCAGGTCCACCACTTCCTAAGCCTCCTTTCTCGGGCAAGGCACCTAAGTTTTCTGTGCTTCTGTTTCCACATCAAGGGAGAGAATAATAAAGTCCCCTCTCATAGGGTCAGCGTAAGGGTTAACATCTCCTACATAAACCGTGCTCAGGCATAATAAGCACTATGTAAGTGTTAGCTATTATTGTTGCTGTAGTCGGTTCCATCTGAGGGAAAGTTCTTTTGGGCTGAAGGAAAGCAAGTGCAAGGGTCCTGAGGCACAATAGAGAGTGGTTTGGCATGTTGAAGGAACAGCAAAGGAGCCAACAGGAGTGAATGTGGGTGGGAGGAGGGAAAAGAGAGAGAGAGAGAGAGAGAGAGATACCAAGGAGACTCCAAGAATTTTGGCCTGAGCAATTGGGAGAAGAAAGAAAAAGAAAAAAATCTCTTTTCTGAGATGGGAAGGAGAATTAAGAATCGGAGGAATAGCCCTTTTGGTTCTCTGAGCAACACTATGGTGGTTTGCACCAGCTATGTTCAGTGTAAGAAATAGGGGCAAAACAGGTCACGAGAACTCAAGGAACCCAAATCGCATCTGATGGCCTTGCAGGCTGCATTTTTGAAGTGAGCTTTGTTGATCTGCAGAATGATGAAGGTGCATTTAGAAAATCCAGGCCAACTACTGAGGATGTTCAGGGTAGAAACTGCATGATGAGATGCCACCTCATCAAATGGGGCCTGGCAGGGCAGTGGCAGATTAGGAGGGGAAAGGGCCAGAGGAAGTGCTACAAGTGCCCATTCAAGCCGGCTCGGGGAAATGGACAGAGGGAGGCCAAGTCCTGGCTGCACTGCAGGCCAGCTTCAGGGGTTAGTAACAAAGACACAGTCAGGAGCTAGCGGGACTCACAGGAAGGAGTGTGTGATTCTGATGGAAAACCAGGAAGCCTTCCTGGAGGAGGTGGCACATCAGCTGGGCCTTGGTGAGCCACTAAGGCTTCAGAGTGGAAGAGAATAGGGAAAGGCATTTCAAACTGAGTCAAGAGAAGGCTGCCGTATTCTTGAGACACTGTGAAGTGTGTAGCAAGGCTAGGCGATAGTCTTTTGTTTTTTGGTTTTCCGAGCTGTTTTGTTAAAGCAGATTTTTTTTTTCTATTGTATTTATTTTTTTTAATTCTTATTTTTTTCTTATATAGTTTATTGTCAAGTTGGATTCCATATAAACCCAGTGTTTATCCCAACAAGTGCCCTCCTCCATGCCCATCACCCCCTTCCCCTCTCCCCCAACCCCATCAGCCCTTGGTTTGTTCTCAGCATTTGAGTCTCTCATGGTTTGCCTCCCTCCCTCTCCTCAACTAGTTTTCCCCTTCTCCTCCCCCATGGTCCTCCATTAAGTTCCTCCTAATGCACCTATACGTGCAAACATATGGTATCTGTCCTTCTCTGCCTGACTTATTTCGCTCAGCATAACACCCTCAAGGTCCATCCATGTTGCTACACATGGCCAGATTTCATTCTTTCTCATTGCCATGTAGTATTCCGTTGTATAGATAAACCACATCTTCTTGATCCATTCATCAGTTGATGGACACTTAGGCTCTTTCCATGATTTGCCTATTGTTGAGAGTGCTGCTATGAACATTGGGGCACATGTGCCCCTATTCATCAGCACCCCTGTATCCCTTGGGTAAATTCCTAGCAGTGCTAATGCTGGGTCATAGGGCAGTTCTATTGTTAATTTTTTGAGGAACCTCCAAACTGTTTTCCAGAGGGGTTGCACCAGCTTACATTCCCACCAACAGTGTAGGAGGGTGCCCGTTTCTCCACGTCCTCACCTGCATCTGTAGTCTCCTGATTTGTTCATTTTAGGCACTCTGACTGGCATAAGGTGGTATCTCAGTGTGGTTTTGATTTGTATTTCCCTGATGAGGAGGGACATTGAGCATTGTTTTATGTGTCTGTTGGCCATCTGGATGTCCTCTTTGGAGAAGTGTCTGTTCACGTCTTCTGCCCATTTCTTCACTGGATTGTTTTTCGGGTGTGGAGTTTGGTGAGTTCCTTATAGATTTTGAATACTAGCCCTTTATCTGATATGTCATTTGCAACTGTCTTTTCCCATTCTATCAGTTGCCTATTAGTTTTATGGATTGTTTCCCTTGCTGTGCAGAAACTTTTTATCTTGATGAGGTCCCAATAGTTCATTTTTGCTCTTGTTTCCCTTGCCTTTGGGGATGTGTCAAGTAAGAAATTGCTGCGGTTGAGGTAAAGGAGGTTGTTTCCTGCTTTCTACTCAAGGGTTTTGATGGTTTCCTGTCTCACATTCAGGTCCTTTATTCATTTTGAGTTTATTTTTGTTATGGTGTGAGAAAATGATCTAGTTTCATTCTTCTGCATGTTGCTGTCCAGTTCTCCCAGCACCATCTGTTAAAGAGGCTGTCTTTTTTCCATTGGGTATTCTTTCCCGCCCTGTCAAAGATTAGTTGGCCATACATTTTGGGTCCAATTCTGGGTTCTCTATTCTGTTCCATTGGTCCGTGTGTCTGTTTTTGTGCCAACACTATACTGTCTTGATGATTACAGCTTTGTAGTAGAGGCTAAAGTCTGGGATGGTGATGCCTCTTGTTTTGCTTTTCTTCTTCAATATTACTTTGGCTATTCGGGGTCTTTTGTGGTTCCATACAAATTTTAGGATAGTTCTAGTTTTGAGAAGAATGCTGGTGCAATGTTGATTGGGATTGCATTGAATGTTTAGATTGCTTTGAGCAGTAATGACATTTTAACAATGTCTTTATTCTTCTGATAAGAAGATATAAATGTTTATTCTTCTGATCCATGAGCATAGAAATGTTTTTCCATTTCTTTGTGTCTTCTTCAATTTGCTTCATAAGTGTTCTATAGTTTTCATCATACAGATCTCCTGTATCTTTGGTTAGGTTTATTCCTAGGTATTTTATGTTTTTTTGTGCAATTGTGAATGGGATCAGTTTCTTGATTTTTCTTTCTGTTGCTTCATTGTTGGTGTATAAAAATGCAACAGATTTCTGTAAATTGAATTTGTACCCTGCAACTTTGCTGAATTCTTGGATCCGTTCTAGTAGGCTTCTGGTGGAGTCTATCGGGTTTTCTATGTAGAGTATCATGTTGTCTGCGAAAAGTGAAAGTTTGACTTCTGCTTTACCAATTCTGTTGCCTTTTATTTCCTTTTGCTGTCTGATGGCTGATGCTAGGACTTCCAGAACGATGTTAAACAACAGTGGTGAGAGTGGACATCCCTGTCGTGTTCCTGATCTCAGGGGGAAAGCTCTCAGTGTTTCCCCATTGAGGATGATGTTAGCTGAGGGCTTCTCATAGATGGCTTTCATGATGTTTGAGTTCCTTCTATCCCAACTTTCTCGAGGGTCTTTATTAAGAAGGGATGCTATATTTTGTCAAATGCTTTTTCTGCATCGACAGAATCATACAGTTTTTATCTTTTCTTTTGTTAATGTGATATATCACATTGGTCGATTTGTGAATATCGAACCAGCCCTGTAAACCAGGAATGAATCCCACTTGATCATGGTGGATAATTCTTTTTATGTGCTGTTGCATTCGATTTGCAAGTATCTTGTTGAGGATTTTTGCATCCGTATTCATCAAGGATATTGGCCTGTAGTTCTCTTTTTTTTTGCTGGGCCTTTGTCTGCCTTGGGAATCAAAATGATGCTGGCTTTGTAGAATGAGTCCATAAGTTTTCCTTTGGTTTCTATTTTTTGGAGTATCTTGAGAAGAATGGGTATTAACTCTGATTTAAATGTCTGGTAGAATTCCCCAGGGAAGCCATCTGGCCCAGGGCTCTTATTTGTTGGGAGATTTTTGATAACTGAATTTCTGCACTAGTTATGGGTCTGTTCAGATTTTCTATCTCTTCCCATGTGAATTTTGGTAGTGTGTGTGTGTGTTTAGGAATTTGTCCATTTCTTCTAAGTTGTCCAGTTTGTTGGCATATAATTTTTCATAGTATTCCCTGATAACTGCTTGTATTTCTGAGGGGTTGGTTGTAATAAGTCCATTTTCATTCATGATTTTGTCTATTTGGGTGCTCTCTCTTTTTGGGAAGACTGGCTAGAGGTTTGTCAAATTTTGTTTATTTTTTCAGAAAACCAGCTCTTGGTTTCATTGATCTGTTCACCTGTTTTTTTGGATTCTATATTGTTTAGTTCTGCCTTGATCTTTTTTATTTCTCTTCTACTGGGTTTGGGGTGCTCTTGTTGCTTTCCTTCTAGTTCCTTTAGGTGTGCTGTTAGATTTTGTACTTGCGTTGTTAAAGTAGATTTTTAATCTATAGATGATTTTCTCTTTGCTCATAACTTCCTTTGAAAGCATTTTAAGATGAAATCAATTAAAAAGAAAACCACATGTCTGAATTATAGTAGTCAATATATCTAAATGTTTAAAAAAATAATAGCCAAATATGAAAAAAAGGAAAAAAGGAGAAGAATCTTAGCAGTCAGCTTTAGGACTCTTTGGGCTTGTCAGTTTTCAGCAGGTGGGCACTGATGTCTCCCCAGCCACCGCAAGATCTTACTCAGATGGACCCCAAACGCAGTTCACCCAGTTACCTTCTCAGTGGCCCATTCCCAAAGAACCAGTGGTGCCTGCTGAGTCCATGATAATAGCTAACACTTGCTCCGTACCAGGCATTGTTCTGAGCCTTTTACAGATAGAACCAGCAACTCCTCACCACTACCCTGTGGGGGGGGGGGGGGGGGGAGGATGCCTTTATTATTTCCATTTTACAGATGAGGGAGCTGAGGCTCAGAGAGGTTAACTGATTGGCCTTAGCTTGCGTAGGTGGTAGAGGCAGAATTCCAACAGACTCTGACCCCAGGGTCTGTGTTCTGATACCCCCCACCTTGCTTCCTCCAGGCTATCACCCCTCACCCACCTCCACATGGGATCATCACTCATGATCACAAGTAATACTGAGAGGGGCTCACTCCCAGGAAGGACACAAGGAGACAGGGGTCTCACAGCACCACTGCCCTGCTGGTGCCCCGCCCCACCTCTCTGTATATTCCAGACACGGTAGGCGTCACAGAGGCAAGCAGAATCCAGCATCTTGGGGCATCTGGATGGCTCAGTCTGTTAAGGGTCCCCCTCTTTTTTTTTTAAATGTTTTATTTATTTCTAGGAGACAGAGAGACAGCGTGAGCAGGGGAGGGTCAGAAAGAGGCGGAGTCACAGACTGAAACAGGCTCCAGGCTCTGAGCTGGCAGTCAGCACAGAGCCTGACGTGGGGCTCGAACCCACGAACCGTGAGATCATGACCTAAGCGAAAGTCGGACGCTTAACCAACTAAGCCACCCAGGCGCCCCAGGTTCCCCCTCTTAATCTCAGCTCAGGTCTTGATCTCAGGGTTGTGAGTTCAAGCCGCACGTTGGGCTCTGCACTGGGCATGGAGCCTACTAAAAAAAAAAAAAAAACCCAGCATCTTCCCCCCAGTCTGCTGCTGCTTGACTCCAATCTACTCCCAGTAAACAGAAGCTTGGCATTTCTGCCCTTGCAGATTTCCTTAACCCGGCCCTCTTTTCCCACTTGAGGCCTGAGCCTCCTAGCAGGGCCTCTGCCCCCATGCTCACCCTGCCCCGTCTTTTCCCCACCAGACAGCTCTTTGGAGATTGTTTCTGTCTACCCTTAGATGCCTTCCATGGCTCCCCGCTGTGTACATGCCACTCCTAGCACCTGCCTTTAATTAACGCCTATGCTCGTGCTGTACCCTCTTGTTGGGAAAGCCTCCCGTCCTTTTTTCTGGATGTCCAAATCTTCCCTATACTTTAAGGGCCAGCTGAGGTGCTTCCTCCTCCATGATGTCTCCCTTGATTCACCTCTCTTCCCTCTCTGCCTTGGCCAGTAGCTCAAGTGAGCCCACTTCTCACCTCATTTACCTGATGGAGCTGTTGAAGACAGGGACCCTGGCTTGGGTTTCCCCCTGAACTCCCATTCAATGAGACCCCCGCATGACCTGAGGACTTCATTTCTTGTTTTCCATTTTCTCCTGGAATTTGCATTTCCATCATGTGGTTGCCCCATTCTCAGCTATTTGAACACATAGTTGATGCCCCCGATCATCCTTGATCCTGCTGTCTCTTCCCCGGGTTCAGGGCTCACTCACCCTGGCCTGAATTCACTTCCCACCCTCAAAAGTATACTTCTCCTTAGATCCAAGTATTGTCCTAGAGTATTCCTGCTGCAGATTCCTGAACTTGCATTAACTGTTTACATGTGTGTCTGGTTCTTGGGGAGAGATTATGCAAATCTCCGGTTTTGTAATATTTTTAGTACGTTTTGTAGTTTGCTCTTGCTTAGATGAGCACCAGGCACTCATTTCTCATAATCTGTTACAGACATGAACTGCCAGCTCTCAGGCTCCTCCAGCACCAAGCTCGTTTCCTTGTTGAAAACAAGCCCCTCACCAGAGCGATCACTCTTCTTAAAACGTAAGCCCTGGGAGCAAGTGCAGAAAAGAGGGTGGAGAGGGCTGGGTGCGTGGGGGGTGGGGATTCATGGAAATGGAGGTCCCCTTTTTTTCCTAACAGACCCAACTTGGGGTTTTTTAAACTTTTAGTTTTTAAATATAGAAATACATAGTCACGGTAAAAAAAAAAATTTTTTTTTTAATGTTTTATTTATTTCTGAGAGAGACCGCGTGAGCCAGGAGAGGGTCAGAGATAGAGGGAGACACAGAAGCCGAAGCAGGCTCCAGGCTCTGAGCTAGCTGTCAGCACAGAGCCTGATGCGGGGCTTGAACCCACGAACCGTGAGATCATGACCAGAGCCAAAGTTGGATGCTTACCCAACTGAGCCACACCGGCGCCCCCAAAAACAAAAAACTTTTAAAGACAATCACTTTCTCATAGATAACTACTAGAATTATTTACCCTGTTAGCTTTTTTTGGTTTATCTATATATACATACAAGAATATATTTTATATGTCTTTTTACAAACATGGTATCATACTATACACACTGGTTTGTAACCTGTTTTTATTTACAGATATGTTCTGAAAATCTTTGTTCCCTTAAAAAAATTATACAGGTAATGCATGCTTCTTACAGAAAATTAGAAATTACAGATACATAAAAACAGCTGCCTCCCCAAAGATAAATGCTATTAATATTTTGGCATACATTCTTTCAGACATTTTAAAAGCACTTCTGTGTACAGAATTTTAAAATGGGATATATACTCTTGTAAATTTATTTAATAGTGTAGCTTGAACAATTTTGCTTCAGTACATTTAAATATCTTTATTTTTAAAGGATGCACAGTAGTATTCCATTGAAAGACTATGCTATATTTAACCAATTCATAATGCTGTGCCTTTAGGCTGCTTTACATATTCATTTCTATAAACAATGCTATAATAAACATCCATTCTTATACAGGCTTGCTGCATTAATGAATAAGTGAATGGACACACCTTAGCTCATTTTTGGATTATTTTATAGGAGTTATTTCTCAAAAGTGGAATTCCTGGGTATGTACTTTTTAAAGTAAACTTTGAAATATTCATAAAAAGCACATAGGTCAAAGGGGTGCTGCTCAATTATTTGTAAGAAGTAAACATCTTCTATAACCTCCGTTAGACCAAGAAATGGAAATTTCTAGCTCCCCAGAAGCCTTCCTCATGTGGCCTTCTTTTTTAAGTTTGTTTATTTTGAGAGAGAGAAGAAGAGCATGTGAGGGGCAGAGAGAGAGCAAGAGGGAATCTCAGGTAGGCTCTTCCCCTCTGGCTCCCTGCTGTCCGTGCACAGCCCGACAGGGGGCTCAATCTCAAGAACTTAACCGCAGGGCTTAACCAACTGAGCCACCCAGGCACCCCTAGAAAATCAATTTTTAAAAACATTTTCAGTGACTTTTTTTTTTTTAACCCAGGAATAAATCTAACAAAAGACTTGCAAAAACCTCACTACAGGAAGCTCCGACAGCATTACTAAGAAAACAATTTGGCAGTTATCCAGTAAAGCTGAACCCCCATGTAGCCTACCTTGTAGACCGTTTTTTCACTTCATGTCTGCAGATGTGGTATAACACAATGAGAACCATTATTGGCGATTTAAGTTAGCACCACATTTCTGGAACACACTTTGGCAGTATTTATTTACCAAAGGCCTTAAAAGCAAAATTATCCATGTTGACCCAGCAATTCCTCTTTTAGGAATGTATCCTAAAGAAATAATCAGATACATAAAGATGTAATTATATTAGTATTTTCAAAAGCTTTTTTTTTTTTTAGGCCTAAATGTGGAAAAGGGGGAGGGATAGTTTAAATTATAATACATCCGTGGTGCCTGGGTGGCTCAGTCGGTTGAGCGTCCGACTTCAGGTCACGATCTCACGGTTGGTGGCTTCGAGTCCGTGTCCGCCTCTGCACTGACACTCTGGAGCCTGCTTCGGATTCTGTGTCTCCTTCTCTTTCTGCCCCTCCCCGCCTCAAGCTCTGTCTCAAAAATAAACATTAAAAAAATTATAATACATCTGATGCATCAAAATCTTAGGGTCGCCATTAAAGTCCTTTGATGAAAGATATTATTTGATAGGATAAAATGTGTCAGTAAATTGTAAAAAGCAGGTTACCCAAGAGCATGTATGGCATGATACCAATGTTAAAAACTATTAAATAGCAAGATAAAAACTGAGACGATGTACACCTGTGTTAATAGGGATAGGATTTTTAAATTTTTAGAAATTGGCAACAAATTCCAGGTATGGTACAAAATTCAGTGACACGTTCACTCCTTCCCTTGTACCCCCGACACCTCCCCAGAGGCAATCAGGGTTTAAAAGAGCGGTTTTCATTTATCTTTTGGCGATTCCCATTCTATCTGGGGGGCGAGCCTGGTCGGTTCCCGGGGGCGGGGCGCCGCGCTGCCCCGCTCACCACGTGTGGCGCGGTGTCCCCCCCTTCCCCCCGCAGACGCGCGCACGCCCACGCTGGACCCGGACACGATGCACGCACGTCTGCGCCTGTCCGCCGACCGCCTGACGGTGCGCTCTGGCCTGCTGGGCCGCCTGGGACCCACGCCCGCCCTGCGCTTTGACAAACTGTGGCAGGTGCTGGGTCGCGACTGCTTCGCCGCCGGGCGCCACTACTGGGAAGTGGACGTGCAGGAGGCGGGCGTCGGCTGGTGGGTGGGCGCGGCCTACCCTTCCCTGCGGCGCTGCGGGGCCTCGGCCGCCGCCCGCCTCGGCTGCAATCGTCAGTCCTGGTGTCTCAAGCGCTACGATCTCGAGTACTGGGCCTTCCACGACGGCCAGCGCAGCCGCCTGCGGCCCCGCGACGACCCCGACCGGCTGGGCGTCTTCCTGGATTACGAGGCCGGCGTCCTGGCCTTCTACGACGTGTCTGGCGGCATGAGCCACCTGCACACCTTCCGCACCGCTTTCCAGGAGCCGCTCTACCCAGCCCTGCGGCTCTGGGAAGGGGCCATCAGCATCTCCCCGCTGCCCTAGGGGCTGCGACCGGAGTGACTGCCTAGGCCTTCCGCTGCTCTGGTGTCACCAACCGCGATGTGGCTGCTCTGTCTGCTCCTGAAGCAACCCTATCTTCTCCCCCACCAGCATCCACGGGTGCTTTGAAGGTCTCCTCTCCTAGGCTAGTTTCAAACATGCCCTAAACACAGATCCTCTGCCGGGGAGCTCTCTTCGACCTCCCCACCACCACCAGGGCACTTATACGACACAGCTTTTAGTCCAGGTGCCACCCACACGTGAGCCCTAAGCATCCTGACCACGTCAGCATACATGATCTTCAACCTAGGACTTCTCCCTCATGCAGCAGTCGGCAATACCTGGCACTTAGTAGGCACACAATAAATATGTGGGTGAGTCATCCAGCTCTTACTCTTTCTCCCTTAATGCGCCTTTGATCTGCCTCCTCCTCTCCGCTCTACTTCAGCTTGTCCATGTCACTTCCCTTCAGAGCAGCTGCAAGAGCATCTTAACAACACCTCATGGCCTGAACCCTCTCCCATCCTCATCCTCCACTGTACAGCCAGAGTGAGGTGCCTAAAATTTCACTTAACCTTGGAACTACCCGGAGGTTCCCAAGGACGCCAGGGAGAAGACCAGCAGACACGCTGCCTTAGCATTCAAAGCTTTTCTAGTCTGCCCCAAACTCCTGATGCCTCATCTGGCTTCTACTGCTCTTTTCAGAGACCCTCCAATTAGAGCTGTCTGCACCTTTGCCCTCTGCTTTTGGCTCCATACACTCATTTATGCAGAAAAGCCCTTTCATCATCTTCCTTTGCCTGCCTCAGCCTTGCCCTGGCTTAGCTGCCCCAGGAAGTCTCCCCAAGCCACAGGGGTCTCTCTTACTATCAGAACCACGAGCCTGGGACCTTGCATTCCAACTCGATCGCAAGTTTTCCAAGGGCAGCTGTGTCCGATACCTTCCCCACCCTGAAAAGTTCGGAGTGTCCCTTCCTCCCAGGCAGGAATGACCAGCAGCCAGCTATCACGGACTCGAGGAACAGCTGAGCTGAGAAGACCACATGGATCACCCAGCCTGGCCTCGCTGGACAAGTGGGGAGACTAAGGTCCTGAAAGAAAGTTGCTTAAAGTTCCCCATGGTGATGAAGGGCTGGGCCACCCCACCCCCGCTACAGCCCCAAGGCAAGGGTCTTACTTACTTGGCCCCTGGCCCAGCTCTTCAGGCCCAGCTTTCAGTCTGGAGATTTTACTGCTTACTCATTCCTCAGGAGATGTTGGGAAGAAAATCAGCAGCATAGCAACCACGGGCGGTTTCCCCCACTGTCTTGGAACCAGAAGAAGAGCTGAAAGTAAGGTTTGGGCAGAGCCCGGACGTCCCCAGGCTCCTCAGATCCCACAGTTCCAGGTGTCACCAAGGAAACCCAGAGAACCCCACTTTCCAAAAGAGAAGGGGCAGAAATCGAGAAGGCCAAACCAACAGGGCTTCACAGGCCCGCTTCTCTAACAGGAAGGGAAAGGCGTCTTTCTGGGTCTGTGCCTCAGTTCTGAAGAGTTAGCATCATTATTTGTCAAATTCCTAGACGGCGTTGAAACCATCCCGTGTTACAGTGTTGTCTTAGGTGCTGGGCAAGAGGGCAGCGGTAGGGGGAGGAAGATGCAAAGCTGAAACCCACTTAGGGTTTCAGGGCATTAATGAGCTTGAACCAAACAAAACTGACAATTTCTAAGTTTCTGACCTAAAAATGCCACCTTCATATAGGGCAATGAAATACAAGTAGACTACAAGGCAGAAGGAACCTTAAGAGTGCCCTTGGCTCTAACCAAATCCCTTAAAACCCGAGCCAGATAGAGAGCATAGTGTTTAAGCACACTGCTCCGGGAATCCTGAAAAAAGGAGAGCTCGGAACTGTGACAGGACATTCGTGACAGAAGGAGATGGACACACTGGACCCTGTATCTCTGTCCATCCCTGCAAAGACATTCCCAGACCCATGGCGGCCACAGCCAAGTACTACCAGCACCTGCTATTTTGTCAGGCACTGTTCTAATGCTGGACAACGATTAACTCATTGGATCCTTACATCATCCCTAGGAGGTGGAAAGTTACCCCAATTCTCCATATGGCAAAATTGAGACACAGAGTAACTTGCCTGAGGTCACACAGCCAGTGTGGAGTTGGGGTCTGTGCTCATGTCTACCAGGCCATACTGTTCAGGTGAACACAGCTGGTCTCTGGCCAATGCCTGCTCGCTCCCTCTCCACTTTTGCCTGTGATACTCGGCTCTGGCCTGGTTACCCTGTGGGATGCGGGTCTACCTTTGGGCTGAGATGAGGTCCTGCACCCAGAGAGGAACTGTGAGAGTCTGGAATTCATGTAGCAGAGACAGAGCTGGATCATAAAGGACAACAACTCGTTCTTATCAAACGCGTACTCTGTACCAAGACTTGCGCCAGCCAGAAAACTGCAGCTTCGGTACGCAATGCAGTGACCTAGCTGTCTTACCTCTCAGAGTCATCTGTAAAATGGGAATAATGACCCTGCCTAGTGCAGGGAGGCTCAAATGAGCCAACGGTTTTGAACTTGCTTTAAAAACTCTATGGTACCGTAGCAAGCCAGCATGCATCAGCACCCCCAGCGGGATTCCTGTTGTGCCTGGCATAGTGCGGAGACAACGGATACTCCCAGCAGCCATCGGGCAGTAGCAGGAACCTCCTTGAATATTCCCCTGCAGGACTAAGGCTTCCTTGTGGTCCATGACTATAAAGTCACTTACCTAATTCTCTTTCAGATATGAACTTGCGGAAAATTTTTTAAATATTATTTTCTAATATTTACTTTTGAGAGAGAGAGAGAGAGAGAGGCGTGAGCAGGGAAGGGGCAGAGAGAGGGAGACACAGAATCCGAAGCAGGCTCCAGGCTCTGAGCTGTCAGCACAGAGCCCAACACAGGGCTCAAACTCACAGACCACGAGATCAGGACCTGAGCTGAAGTCGCATGCTTAACCGACTGAGCCACCCAGGTGCCCCATCAGAAATTTCTTAATACAGCAAACTGCCTGCAGATATTTTCAAATGACATTAATTTTCTAATATGTGATTTGTTTTAATAAAGACAAATACTGTACCTTTTAACCACGTTCTTCATGGGGAGTTCATGCTGCCTCAAGTACACAGCCCCTAGGCCCGGACAGGGCCTCACTCACCTCGGGTCCCCTCCACTGGTGGTAGACTGAATAGGGCGCGGGCTGGGGAGTTCACGACTTCTGAAGAACTAAGTTCTTGCCTATGTACACACCAGTCCTACCTCCTAGCTATTCCTATCCAAGACAGTACCATGTCGCTTTAGGCATCTTTCTGATACACTGATGCCATGTGTGGTCACTAAGTTTTAGAGATTTCAGGGACCCTTCCTTGCCTCTTGCATCTCTTCTGTTTTTGCAATTCCGCTTTGTCAGGGAGCAGGGACTGTGATGTCAGCCTAGCAGAGGACGCACAGTGCGGTCCTGGTGGACAGGAGTCTGTACTCTGAGGAGGCGACAGGCTGCCCAAGAAGCCGAGCGGCATGTGAGGTGTGGGTAGGACTAAGTATGAAGGTCAGGGCCAGCTCTGAGTCCATCGGGCCCTGCTCCGAAGCCTTCCACAGTCCCCCACTGCCTGTAGAGCGAGTCCAAACCCGGCAGGCTTTCAGGCCCTTGCTTCCTTTCTGACCACCTTCCTCCAAACTTCCTCCCCACGGGGCCGCTCCCTGCCAAACCACCTGCTAGTCCTCGGACACTCCGGCACCGCCCAAGCCTGTGCCTCAAATCCCAAGATCCCTCCCTCTGTCACCCTGACCTACAAAGTTGAACTAAAGTGCCAGCAGGAGGCCTTCCCCGGCCATGCCTCCTCTCCCATCTCTACGCCCGTCCACGTGGATTCCCGTCCATGGGCCCCCACAACCTTTAGAAAACGTCTCAGCAATTCACTCACGTAAGGTGCTGTTTGTAGAGATGCCTGCATCCAACGGGCCGTGAACTCTCCCAACAGCGCCCATCTGCTGCCTCGCTGCAGACCCAGCACTGCGTCTCCCACCTGGCAGGTGGTGAGGGATGTCTTCTAGACCCGAGCTCCCCAACCAGGACGGACCAGAGGTGTGCTGGCGTGTCGGTCCTCCCGTCCTCAGGGAAGCTGAGCGCAGCACAAGGTGGCCAGCTGCTACTGGCTGTGGGCACGCCGAGTCCACCCAGCCATGTCACACACGGGTGATTATCTTCTCTACGTGCCCCAGCAGGAGGCGACTCCACAACTCTCTCCAACACATGATACAGTCCTCTCCACAAAAGGCAGAGTTAAGACTTATGACCTCAGTGGCTCTTCCATTTCTGAGCCTCACCGATTCCTGCTCTGAGGGAAGTCCAGCTGATGTGTAGAGCCGCCAGGGCCCTTCTCACGCTCTGAATGTCTGCCAGGACCTAGAGGCAACTGCCTGGGTCCCTGTTGGAAACTAGGTGCTCCACATTCTCAGCTAGAGCCCAGGTCAGGCTTCTTCCTCCATCCCTTCCAAACTCACATCCTGTCTCTAGGCCCCGGAACATCCCTCTACTACCAAACTGTGTCTCTTCTCACTAGGAAGTCTAAGATATTTGCTTAAATGTCACCTTCTCTGCTGTTGTAGAGAAAAAGGCTATGGAATCAGAAAAGTTGATGGTCTACTCAAGGCCTGCTTATAGGGAGAAATGAAAGGAAGTAAACACCAGCCAGAAATTGATACTATCACACTTCAATTCTTAGCATATCCATTTCACGCATTCTCTTTTACACACGAGTACAACCCAGGATTCCCTCCCCACCCCGCCCACACGTACAAACACCAGTGCCTTTCCAGAAACTGCTTTGGGATCCACAGGAGAGGGAAGTCCTAAACTCTAAAGAAACTTCAGAAGGCTAATTATATATGCATTTGGAAAGAGACTCAAGGATAGATACACTTTGAAACAAGAAGTGATAGTGAACAAGGTCAAAGAAACATGAAGAAAGATTAGGAATGTGGAAATACATTTGACAAGAAGTGCTCATCTCAGTACTCATTCAGAAGGACAAAGGAGAGTCCAATATGGATTCCCTGTGAAAGGTTCACGTGGTCGTTCAGTGAAGTAGTGAGAATCTTTCCTGTTAGCGGGGTTTCACTATGGTTTAGGGAAAGGCAGATTTCAGCATTACCACTGTATTAAATCACCACAGGCTACACATACACCAAGCCCCACACCTCCATCTCCCTTACCCAGCCCCCCACTCCCCCGCCCCCACTGCACACATCACCTCCTAACTTACTGTGATTTACTTACTATGCTTACGGGGTGCTATGCATCTATCCCCGTCTGAGGGAAGTTCCATGAAGACGAGTGGGCTGCTCACCGCTGAACCCCAGTACCTAAAGCAGAGCCTGGCACAGAGCAGAACCTCCATATTGTTGAAAGGAATGAATGTCATTTCCCTCTCTTCGCTCACAGAGGTAGGCAGGCTTTTAGCATTTCTCTGCCTGCATGATGCTGGACCAACCCCTTCTCTGATGCCCACTGATCACTGTCCAGCTCACTGGACACCAAGGCCCAGGGCAGGGAGGGAATAAGGGCAATAGTGAACAGACAGCTGGAGGTCAGGAAGGAAGGGAGATTTGGGGCACGTGGATTGGCTTTACAGGCAGGGTGAAAGGCGGCTTAAAGAAGAGGGCCTCGTGTAGTGAGCTTTCACCCCTCTGTGTACCCACATGGCAGCTGGATGACAATGATTTGCTTTTGAGCCCACCTCCCCTTCTGGGCCAGCCAACCTGAAGCAGAGACTGACATATGGTCTTTGTATCCCTCCTACGGGCCTGAGACAGAGCCTGGCCCAAAAATGTGTGTCTAGGGAGGAGTAGATGAAAGCTAGGTTTCAGGGGTCAGGGGGCTGTCGGCCCTACCCCACCTTCCCCAACAGTACTGGCAACGCAATTCAGAATTCAGAGAATGGCACTTTATTTTAAGACTTGATTTTTTTGCCATGATTTTCTACCGATTCTTCCAGGATGGTATCGTCTTCTTCAACAGTGACCAGGACCTTCTTGCCCACCAGATTAAAGATGTCTTCAGGCGGGTAGCCTTTGGGCTCACCCACCTTCACAGTAAGCATGTCCAATGTTAGAACAGTGCCTTCTGGAATTTTCACTTTGGCCACCACGGACTTGCCCAGCTGTGGATAAAATTAAGACTCGGTGTCAGCTTCACAGAAGTTAACATGTTGTTTTATACCCAAGGTGCCTGACCCGTCTTCACAGGGCACCCTGGGACCAGGGACTTTGTTCTCCCACTGGTTCTGAGAACAGAACCTCACACAGAGCAGGGGCTCAGCCAGTGGGGGGGTGAACTTAGAGACTCGGAGAGGGGCCTTAACAATAAAGTGCAAAGGAAAGGGCTCAGATCATACAGCCAAACAGAGCCAGGTCCAAATCCTCTTCAAGTGGGTACAAGCCGTGCCTGACTTTCTCTGTAAAATGGGAACTAATAATGTCTCCAGCATGTCAGATGACTACAAGGACTAGCAGTAATAATATATGTAATCTTCCTGAAACATAGAACGCTCCCAGAAAATTATGATTTCTTTTGTCATCATTCAGTTCAACATCTCATTTTAAACGTGGGGAAACTAAACAGAGGTCCAGAGAGGGCAGAAAACTTGGCCAAAGTTCCAAGAAACCGGGATTCTGACTCCTGGCCCACTTCTCTTAGGGGACACGAACCTTACGGCTACTGTGCTTGGTGAAATAAGAATATGGAGGGCTCGCAAGACTGAGTGCGCCATTGTTCAGTGGACGGGAAAAGGGGCCGCCTACAAAGAGGCAGGCAGGTGAGGGGAGTGATGGGTACCAGAAGTTCATGACCAGCCTTTCTATGTCTCATCCATAAATGCTGTTGAACATATCAGTGCACCGTGTAAGGGTCAAGAAATCAATTCTAAAATTAAGTGCCAGGACAAAAGGTCTGTCGGTGGATGTTACCCGATTACGCATCCCACCGTCCGCCACCATTTGCCCAGGTAGCCAAGAGGCTCAAACCAAAGTAAGGGCTGAACTCTCCTGCATCTCTGGCGTGATTCTCTCCCCTTTTCTTCTACAATACAGTTTGTTTATTTTTACTATTATTTTCATCTCCTGGTACTTCTGCGTCTTTAATTTGAGGGAAGCAATCAGGCCCCACTAGAATAAAAGATGAAAACGTTCCTCACACATGCCAGGTGTTTGTTCTTTGCCTCGACCCAGACAGCCACAGCAGGCCAGGAGTGGCTGCAGTCCTGGGAGCCCCAGGACACCAGGCTGTACGACCAGAGGCCAAGACAGGTCTAGGCCACGGCTTCCAAGAAGCCCAGATGGTCAGCAGGCCAGGCAGTCCTTGGCCTCAGCATCTCCTGTCTCAAGGTCAGTGCTGCACAGCTCACACTGCTCCTAAGAGAAGATCCGCATCACCCTCCCACAAACCCCTGCACCACACACAGCTCTGTCCATCTAGGGCCTCCTCCGCTTAGGAATGCCTCCGATTATCACAGGCCCTTCTCCTGCTGCCTCACGGAACCCCTCTGTCCAGCTGTTTCTCAAGGCTTACCTACTCCAAGGGACCCCAGACTTGACCACCGAGGTGCCCTATGAGGCTACCCCCAGCCCCTTACATCTCCTGGCATCTAGAGCACTGGCGCCACAGGCTTCGGAGACTTGGTAGGAAACTATAACATGATTCTAGGAGGCCGGAGAAACTGCTGAGGCTCCCTTCAGTGACAAGCTTCTCCCGATGCTGATACGAGCCCAGAGTCCCTCAGACGGTCAGCCTGGGCTCAGGCAGGGCTGGTGCTGACTTCCCCTGGCAGGTAAG